TCGATAAAGGAATGGTTGCAAACCTGAGTCATTTTCCCGAGAACTTCCGAACTGGATGTCCCAGAAATCGCGTGTTGTTCAGTAGATGATGGAAGTGATGGAGGAAGTTTAAACTGTAGACGATTACGAGGCTGACTACGTTCAACTGCAACTGAACAAACTACGCGAAAGTCAAAAGTGAATCATCGGAAAAGAGCTCCTAAAGAAAAAAACATGCCCAATGCAGGGCGAAAGACCAAAACGCAACAAAACGAGCCAACAAATCAATACCTTACCAGTTTTCCCAGACTTCAGAATACTTCTCGGAGCTGGACGTTCAACTTCTGCTTCTGGTGTCTTGTCTGTCCATTTCCGTTGCGATTCTGCACGTGCAGCTGCACAAGCGCGCGCCTTGGGCGTCCGTAGAATGTCCGCTATGTTGTTTAACGTATTGATCGGGATGTCCCTTAAAAAACTCTACTCTTCGCATGCATGTGTGCAAACACCATTTTATTTCGGAAAAACGTACTCCGGTATAATTACGTCATCTTCACTGAGGTCCATGAGGGCACGTTTAGCAGCGGGTGGAGATTTATCAGACTGTAATATCGGTATCACGAACGAAACTGATGATTCACTCATTGACTTTCGTCCTTTAATCTTTTACAATGAATCATAAACGAAATTGAAAGTCACTTTTTAACCCCACTTTTTACTGATATGATGAGCTCAGTTTGTGGCAAATTTTGCTATTACTTGATAGGTAGAACCCTTTATCTGTAAAGGTAGTCTGGACAATCTCAGTGTATTTGCCAAAGGAACACCCCCCCCTACCCAACTCCCCGAGCAAAGACATGTCAGCGGTCCGTCCTGAATTCCTCTAAGGCTGAGCTCACACTTTGGCAGCGTCCACTACTGACCAGGCGCCCACCAGCGTCCTGGAGTGCGGTATTGTGCGGTAATACGGTGCGGTTGCATTCGCCGTAATGCCACGATGCCTATCCAGCTGTTTGCTACCCCTAATACTTTGCCCGTTCTCAATCCACTCCCTGGACGCAAGGTAGACTCTCGTAGGAATATGCCGTCTTTTAGATTGATATCTAACATCTTCCTAGCCGTTGATGGACGCGCGAAATGCCTATGGTCACCGGTGAACGCTGCCCCAAAGTATGAACGCAGCTAAGCGTTCAAGTTTGGGATGTGTGGAATAGCGGCGTCATTGACCTCAAAAGACCTCAAAAAAGATCTCGGCACAACCTACCTACTATCTTAACGAAGCTTCTCAAAATTGAGAGGAAGTGGGAAGTAAACACCTCCGAACCACTCGAATTAGTACTAGAGATTACTGATTAATCAGAAGTTGCTAAGTTGTTAAGGGTGGGCGGGAGTAAGGGGCAAAGAGTAGGATAATTCCTTTTCTGCGCAAAACCATTCTTCTTCCCCAGCCCCGCTCGATCGACAAAAACTCCACCCTCCTGCCCACTATTCCTACCCCAACGATTCGCACAACCATGATGTTAGCTAACCCCTATACCTATGAATATACACTTCGATGAGTTTATTTCCGAGTTTGACCAACTTTAAGTCTTTTCGGTCTCGCACCCGTGTCTTTGCTCCCCCAGGTCTTTTCGAAAACACAGGTGATCCATTTCGCCTCAACTCGGACGAACCACTCTCATATGTGCTTCCCATTGAGGGAGGGGAGATAGTAAGGCTCTGTGATCTCGAAAAAGTGGAAGCTCATGATTAAAATACACAAACCAGGCTTGAAAGCTGCGGAGAATTGATAGATAGCTGTTGCAGAGCAGTGGCGGCTGTACGCTTTCGAGCGTCAGCATTCGATTGTCTGGAAAACTTTACTTAGCAGGAAAGGCAAACAACTGAAGAAGAGATTGAAGTCGAACCTTCTCAGCAATCGAACAGGGGTTTTTCCTCGATCAATTATTGGTAAGTCTCTTTCTCGAGCTGGTGAGGAAGAACCGTTCTCACTCTCTAAAATTTCGTTTTCATTTCCTAGCTATTTAGAATTGATGATGCATCCCAACATACCAAATTTCTGTATGGCCTCTTTAATATGACTCGGCCAGGATAATCTCTTTGTTGTCGGTAAATTCTGACGAAGTTTCTTCACTATAGGCAACAACTGTTGATATTCCAAAACAGCCTCGTTGCGACCAGCATTGGGTGGAATAGAGAGCTAAAACGACGTAATACTGATAGAGTATTACTGTAAGAACTACTGTAACTAAACCTACACACCTCTGTCACTTCATCGTATCGACGACGCTTAGCCAGATAGCAATTCCAAGCAAACTCTCCGAATGGTATCTTCTTGAGGAGCGCTGAAAGCAAATATTGGAGCTCTGTAAATAAAGTTCTATACAAAACCAAGGAAAGAATACATTTCAGCCGATCTTCCTCGGAGCTACTGAGCGGACGAGGAATGTCCAATAGCTTCTGGACCTCAGCCTCCGAAGACACCTTCTGAGCTGGCGAATGAATTTCCAGTGAATCTTCTTCTCCAGTCTTCTGTATAACAAGCACAACATAAAAGTTGACGGTCACGTCACTTGAAATTCTTAGAAAACAGTAGTTAACAAGGGTCAAAGCAACATTTTGAGGGCGCTGTTTATCGACGGGGGGGGGGACATTTTGTACTATAATTGCTTCTCTGATTCCGGTTTACAAACCTCACTCTGATAAA